CAGGCAACTAGCAGTAGGGCAAGAGGGTAGAGACTCAAGCTCTACCAGGGGAGGTTTAGGTTGGATATTAGGAAGAGATTTTGTACAGAGAGAGTAGTCAGGCATTGGAATCGGCTGCCTGAGGAGGTGGTGGATTGAAAAAATAGGAATAATATCTGAATAAGGGCTGGGAAAAGTAAGAATATGATGAATAATATTACTGTATCACCAACAGTCAGAATGAAGTTTTGAAGTTTTAAAGGAATAATGAATAATGAAATCATCTAAAATTAATAAATGCTGCACATAAAAATAAAACTGATACCTGGAATAAAAAAGTTTAAACCAGCTAATTTGAAATTTCTATTTCAAGCTAAAGAAACAAATTTCTCATCAAAAGTAAAAGGAAAATTATCTTACCTTATCTAGTCTTTTTTGCCAGCTTTCTTCACATTTTACCATGAGTTCAATACAATGAGAGAGTGTAGCAAGGATTCCAGCAGTAGTTGCCTTGAAAGTTATAGCTTCTCCTTTAAAGTCTATACCATTAATTCCTTTGGGTGCCACATGTGGAAACACTAAAAACAAACACAAATTGTTCCCTGATAGCTGCCTTTAATGAGCATTTTACATGTATGCTTTATACTCTTTGCTGTATACTCTTCGAAGAAAATAGACTGGCTATATATTTAATTTAAAAATAAAAATCAAGAGTGCTAATAATTTTCAGCTATTCACAGGATAAGGAAAGATTCAAAAAGAAAAACACATCCCTTCAGCTTCATCTTGGTATACTGTATTTCAAGTCTGCTTGTAGTGCTGAATTACTCTGCAAATCATGTGGGTGGAGGGAGTAGGAATACTTGTGACAATAGCAGTTTGACAGCTCGAAGTGGGGCCTAATTAACACAGAGCAATCTTAAAACATATCCAATACAGCACTAATAAAGAAACAATTTCAAAATGCAATCAAGCACCAAAGGTAACATTTCAAGGCTGCTTTAAGCAGGTAACTATAGATTTTAAAAACACAAAAAGGTATGATATAAAAGTATTATGTTTTGAATTATCAAGTATTATGAGGTTTTGTAGTTCAAACAACTACTTCATGCTGTCAACCAGGCCATCTGTCATAAAGGCTATTTAAACAAGTCAGTTAAAATGTGTGACAATAAACTACCCATTCTATGTCAAACTTGTATGTAGGTTGACAGAATACCAAATCAAACACTACACATTAATGTCAGAAAATATTAGAAAGCAGAAGTAACACTCATGTTTGTGCTGGTTTGAGCTGCAGTAGTTAACTTTCTTCACAGAGGCTAATATGGGGCTATGTTTGGGTTTTGTGCAGAACACAGAGTTGATAATGCAGAGATGTTTTT